TGAGGCATTACCACTGTGGGGACTGGACCTTGGGCCTAAGGGTTGGGTCTTCCAGCTGTGTGCTCGGGTGACTGGCTGCGCTTTGATCTCAGGTGTAGCTCTCCAAAGGCCTGTTGCTGTTTCCTGGCCAACTTGGTCAGCTCTGTCTAGTGGGAGAAGAAACTAGTTCAAAGAGGGTTTTAATAGGCTTTTGCTAGGGGTAGTAGCGCACACCTGTAATCCAGGAGCACTCAGGAGGCTGAGGTAGGAGGACTGTTGCGAGTTCAAGGCCAGCCTGACCTGCACAGTGAGGCCATGTCTCAAAAAAAAAAAAGCAAGACTTTTTTCTTTATCTTCTGCGAGTCCCCCCCATTGGTGGGTATTTTTTGTTTTTGTTTGTTTTTGAGGCAGTGTCTTGCTGTATAGCAGGCTTTGAGCTCACTAGGTAGCGCAGGCCTACCTCAACTTGGCAGTCCTGCCTCAGCCTCCCGAGTGCTGGAATTAGAGGCATGCGCCACCACACCCAGATGGGTTTTTTGTTTGTTTGTTTTTTCAAACAAGGCCTTGCAATGTAGTCCAGGCTGGCTTTGAATTCATAGTCCTCCTGTCTCCACCTCCCAAGCGCTGGGATTACAAGCATGTTCTACCATGCCTGACTCTCAAAGATGCTTTGACAACTCCAGAACATAAGCTACATCTTGAATGAAAGAACCAATTTCGAGATAAAGCTAATAAGGTGTAACATGCAAATAAGAGCTATATCTGCAGCAGCTGTGTCTTAGTAAGATCTAGCAGCTTTTTGGGGAAGGCTCCATCCCAGCGTTAGGCTCAGTTTGTAACTGAGCAGCTGCTTTTCTTTCATGCAAAGTAATTTTGGGGGGTTTTTTGAGACAGGGTCTCATTATCCAGGCTGGCCTCAAACTTTTGCAGCTCTCCTGCCTCAGCCTCCCTGGTGCTGGGGCATACACCACCACAACCAGTGACATGCCAGGTAATTTACGAAGGTGTAAAAGCTCTGTCAACCAGTATGTTTTTTATAAATGTGTCCATTCTTGGACAAAGAAGAAAGAACAGTTGCTAAAAACAGTTTAAAAAAAAATAGATGAATTGCGAATGAGGATACCGTACTTTTATGGGTGGCAGACTTCTCTTTCTAGGTGTCAAGTAGTGACATCAGATGGGCGGAGCTGTAGCAGTGGTTGTGGCTGCAGGTCTTTTTTCATAAAATTCATATAATTTAGTGATTTAAAAGTTGCATACCACATGCAGTGGTGCACAGCTGTGATCCCAGCAGTTCGGGAGGTCGAGGCGTAACAGTTGAAAGTTTGAGGCCACCCTGGGCAACTTAGACCCAGTCTCAGAAGAGCTGGGGTTGGAGCTCAGTGGTGGAGCAGTTAGTTGCCCAGCATGTGAGGCTGTGGTTTCAATCCCCAGTACAACAAAAATTCAGCAGGTGTGTGTGGAGTAGGAACTGCGTCAGCCCAGGGGTCAGTCAGGTACTAAGGACGGAAGGCACGGTAAGACCCTGGCGTCACAAGGATTGCTGGTGCACAGAGCAGCCGCACGTTGAGACTCGCTTGTCTGCCACCTTGGCGTTTCGCAGTCAGGCTGCGTGCCTTCTGAGCACGGCGGGGATCTGTGGGGCTGAGTGTAGGCAGGACAGCCGGCCAGACCACTGAGCAAAACAGTTCCTGCCTTCACAGAGCTGCTGTGGGCAGACGAGCAGAGCTTGCCTCGGGGGCGTTCATGGTCTGACCATGTCCCAGTAGCGGTTTCTGGAAACAGCAGTATGACCAAGTTTAGAATCTCCCCAGCGCAACACGGCCCCGGGCCCGGTCTGTTCGGGAGAATCCTCTGTCTAAGGTGGAGCTGAGGCTCCTGGAGAAATAGTATGCTATTGGGCTTAAGCAGAGGAAGGCCAGGAGGGATTATGCGAATTAGCAGGTTTCTTTGAATGCAGTTGGAGCAGGTGCGGCAGCACAGACTTGTACTCCCCTGTCTCAAAATAGTACAGTATACGAGAAAAAGGCTAGGGTTGTGCCTCGTCCAGCGCAGCTCTCAGTTCCCCCGGGGAAGAATAGTGAGAGGATGGAGAAATAAAGAGTCACAATACAGAAAGCTGGGATCAGGTGGTGCCCTCTCTGGACGGGAGGAAAGGAACTGCCCAACCCCTGCGGTGGGGTTAGACATTCCGTAGGTTGATGTCATGTGACCCCTTCTGCTCGTGGCCGCCTGCATGGTAGCCAGGGCACCGCGCGTTCTTGGAGCTGGAGCAGCTTTGTTCAAGGCCCGGCTCATCTCAGGTGCTCTGTCCTTGGGGCAGCCTTGCTCCAGCCCCACAGGCACATGTGGTCCTGTGACCGATCTCCAGCGTCAGCCACTCCCCACAGGGTTATAGCTATGGCAGAGGCCCTGGGCTCAGTCCTGAGTACCAAAAAAAAAAAGAAAAAGAAAAAAGTTGATTTTACAGGTGAGAAAAAAAAAAGCCAGGGATATAGCTCAGTGGCACAAGCACCTGCCTGGCAAGGGCAAGGTCCTGAGTTGGATTCCCAGTAAAAAAAAAAAAAAAAAAAAAATGCCGGTGGGAGAAATGAAACTAAGTTTTGAGTAAGCATCCTGTCTTAGTTACTGTCTCGTTGCTCAGACAAAACACCCACAAGTTAAAGGAGGAAAGGTTTATTTTGGCTCACAGTTTGTAGAGGTTTCAGTCCATAGTCAGCTGTCTGCAAGGCAGGGTGGCATGGCAGAGGAAAAACAGGCGGGAAGCAGGAGGAAAACTAAATATCCTTCCCGGCCACACCAACAGCGACCCACTTCCCCCAGGCTTCCCCTTCCAATAGCGCACCCAGCTCGAAAACCGTGGACTGACCCAGTATCACACACTCCTGATCCAGTCACCTCCTAAAAGCTTCACCTGTGAGGGCATGAACCTTTGCAGGATATTTAGATATAAATCATAACACATCCCTGATTTATATTCATTTGTTCAGAAACTTTTTTTTGAGACAGGGTCTCAATATATAGCTCAGGCTGGCCTCCCACTCCCAGCAATCCTCCTGCCTCAGCCTCCCAAGTGCTGGCATGTGCCACCGTGGCTGGCTTGTTTGGCAACTATTCCTATATGTTATTCTAGTAATATGTCACATTAGAAAACATTAACGAGTAGAAGTGAAAATACATTAAAAGTGAACACAGAGGGAACTATTAATCCTTGTTTTGTTCCTAGTGGATCATCCTGTGTAGTCCCAGAGGTGTGCTCCTTGCTTGGGAGCCCAGGGGGAATCCTCAGCCCCACTATGACACTCTCCCCATCACCCAGGCGCTTATTCCAGGGTTGAAGAGAGCGATAGCACTGAGAACGGTATCTGCCTCTGGTGGGCTCCCCACCAACCCCAGCGCTCTGATAAGAAAGTCATCACTGTGGCTTTCCTTTTAAGCTTTTGCTACTGAGAAACTGCTCTTCTCTCTGCACCATTTGGTTATTTGGCCGTTTTGCAGGCCCTCTGCCCTCCTTTTGTTCTTGCTCAACGTTATGCCAAGCCCGAATGTGAGCGTGGAAGTGAAAGCGCACTTCGCGTGGAGGCCTGGTTCCTAGGGCTTCCGTGCCAAAGAGGAACTTTCTGTCCTCGTTCTGACTGCGTCTCTATCGTCCTCGGGGTCCTCCTGTCAAGTGTAGGTTGGTTTCCCTAGAAGAGGAGATGGGGACTGGTGGGCAGACAAAGGGGCAGCAGACCAGCTAGGAGTCCCCCGGAGAGCTCCGCATGGGGGTACGGAGGCCTGGGGCCCCGTGAAGCACGGCGGGTCCGGAGCCAGCGAGCAGCAGGGAGAGGGGCCGCACACAGTGCCTGGAATCCAGGAGCTGCACATCTGACTTCTTTCAGCTCTCGCCTCAACTGGAGACTCAGATCATGTTTTTGTCCCTCTCCCGTCTTCTCTGCTGAGCTGGAGCTAAACTCCACAACTGCATCAGCTCACAAACGGAAGGCCCGGTGCTTTCGGGAAGCAGCAGCCTTGCTGAACAGGTCTAGACTGGACCTTGGAAGCTGAGTTCACAGCTCCAGGGAGGAAGGTTTGCGTCTGTGCCCTTCTCTCTGCTGCGCTGCGCAGTGGAGCTCTCCAGTCAGGGCCCAGGCACAGGACAAGTTCCATGACGAGGGGACGGTGCACAGGTGTGGCACGGTGACAGGCTCTGGAGACAGACACAGCTGCACGATCTTGGCCCACAACAGCAATACTAACCTGTTGACCATGTGCTTTACAGAGCTCTCATGGGACCTCAGGTCAGTCTTGTGAGGTACATAACTGTGTTTGCTGCACTGGGGATGGGAGGGAGAAGCATTCTAATGCTGAGCTGCATCCCTCCAGTCCTTTTTATTTTGAGACAAGCAGGCCTTGAACTCGTGATCCTCCTGCCTCAGCTTTCCAACTAACTGGAATTACAGGCACATGCCAGCACCCCTGGGCACTATTTATGTCTCAGGAAAGTGAAGCACGGACAAGTTAAGGTTCTCCTAGTTACACATGTCCAGTGGCGAGTGGGATCCTAATCCAGGCTCTTGTTTTCAGAGCCCCCCTTAACCACTGCACTAATCTGCCTCTGAACCACTAGCTCACCAGGCCTGCTTCCTGACCCTTAACATCAGGCTGTTACCGGGCCTGGTGGTACACCCCTGGAATGCCAGCACTGGGGAGGCTGAGGCAGGAGGATTGTTGCAAGTTTGAGACCAGCCTGGGCTACAAAGTGAGCTCAAGGCCAGCCTGAACTGCATAGTGAAACCCTGTCTCAAAAAAACAAAATTAATTAATTAATTAATTAAAATAAATCTGGTTGTTGTCACCTCCAAGAGTTAAGGATTTGCATATGGTTTATAAAGGATCTCGGGGCTAGGGATTTAGCTCAGCGGCACAGCGCCTGCCTGGCAAGCGCAAGGTCGTGAGTTTGATTGCCAGTACCAAAAAAAAAGCAAAAACAAAACAAAAAAATATATATAAAGGATCTAGCATACAGAACTTCAATGATATCATTCAGACAGAAGCTCAGACATCATCTTTATTCCACTGCTTTAGAGGAAAACACTCTCGGACAGCCCCTCAAGGTTTTGTCAAGACCTCAGCACACCCGAGGAACCCTGCCGGTTTCTGCCGCTCTGGGTCTCCGTGAGGCTCTCTGTAAACTGGCTCCCTGAGTTCCAGCACCAGCTTTGGAGGCACAAGGCCCTAAAAGTCTGCTCCTGAGGTCAAATTTCCCCGCTCATTTGTGCACACCCCATTTACTAAGTGCTGGTCGTGTGCCGAGTGCTATCAAGATGAGGACGAGGAAACAACCTTGGTCTCCCAGGAGCTCAGAGCCAGAGGCAGGGGCGGGAGAGGGGCCCACGCGGGGGCGAACACATGAAGGGCTCTCGGCACAGTGACCAGGACCAAATCTTCACCAAAATGCAGCTGGCACTGGGGTCGGTGGCCTCTTGGCCTTCTCTGCGCCCACCACTGGGACAGCGGTGGGGATGCAAGACTGAGTGGAACCCAGCCGGCTCCCCTGGATTCCAGAGCGCTGAGGCTGAGGGAGTCCTGTGCAAGGCGCTGGCCCCGACAGACCAGCCCCCGCGGCGGCGGGAACCTAGAGCCCACAGGAAGCTGGCTCAGTGTCCGCCCCATTTCAGTTCCTTTCTGCATCTGAGTCTGATTTCTGTGAGATTTGCTCCCGGCCTTTTAGAGGCTTGCAAGGGTTGCCTGGTATCTGGAATCCAGAGAAGCGTAGGGACAGCGCGGCTCCTCCCACCTAGATGGTTTTCCGGAAATGCTCCGCTACTTCTTCGTAGTCATGATCATCCATATTTTTGTCAGGGCCCAGGCCAGGCCAAGGATGGGGTGCGGCGGCAGGGTGCCTGCCTGCCATGGGTGAGCCCCTGGGTTCAACCCGCAGCACTGCAAAAAAAGAAAGCAAGGTCCAGTCGGTGAGGCTCTTTGGCATGAGGCAAGTTCCTTCCCCTCTAGTTTCCTCACCTGCAGCGGGGAAGGAGTCAGCCTGGATCCCCTAAGGCCTTGCTAACCCAGAAACCACCGTCTGTTCTCTCTGAACTCTGCAACGCTCTCATGGCCTTGGACGCCATGGAGAACTGGGGGTGTTGGAAACTGAACTCATTCCTTTGCCAGGACCCTGGAGGCCAGGGAGAAAGGCCAGAGCCCTTTCCATCTGACCCAGCCCGTTCAGCCTTGTCCCTCAAACTGAGACCACAGAAGAGGCCTGGGCAGGGCCACCCGAGGCAAAGGACCAGCAGCCAGCGGGTGGGGAAAGAAGCAGCAAGGACTGGGAGGACAGGGCCGAGGGGACTCACCTGGATCCTGTGTTTGGGCCTTGGTGGCCCTGAGGCCCTTCTTAGAAGTAATCTTTCTGTATAAGTTCTTGGAGGCTTCTGGCAAAGTCTTCTCCTTGGGCGTGGGCGGCAGAGGGGACTGCTGCAGCCCTAAGACTCGAGCAGACTTGGGGAGAGAAAGCAGACATCAACAAGTTCCCAAGAAATGGCAGCAGAGTCCACGAAGCATCATTTACCTACAGTCACTTCCTCAGCTTCCCTTCTACCTTCTCTTCAGGGCAGGGCTTCCGGGTACTCCTGGGGGTTTTGCTACAAGCACCTGAAATAGTCCTTGGCAGGACAGAAAAAGGTCAGGGTGGGGAATAAAGACAGAGTTGTGGGCCGCAGAGAGGGCGTGCTGGAAGTCTCTATCTAGTGCCCTGTGAATTTCCTTTAGATCTATTGCTGAAGTGGGGAAGGAGCAAAAGTAGAGACACCTCAAAGCAGTCAGAGAAGGGTGTGGGGGTGCTGGCCTGTAATCTCAGCGCTGGAGAGGCTGAGCTGGGAGGATGGCTGTGAGTTCGAGACCAGCCTTGGGCACACAGTGAGTGCAAGGCTAGGCTGACCTACGTACGGAGACCGTACCTCAAACAATGAAAACAAAACCCAAACAAACAAAATCAAAGTAAAGAAAGCAGTCGCCACAAATTTAAGGCCAGGTAGTGTGGAGGACCACCTAGGCGACTCTCCTAAAAGAGGAGCAATTGCTTCCCTTTTGGCTGACCCTATTTCCATGTACTGATAGGTACAGAGCTGGCTGGGACTTTTCCTTACCCCTTCAATTGGCTTTAAGCAATGCACAGCGGTCTAGCCCAGGTGCTGATGGTAGTCTTTGGAGATGGCAGGCGTGTTTCCCTGGACCCCCCACCCCCAGTTGTTCCCATGACTGATCCAGGATGAGGCGGGATGTGTGAGCCAATGCTCCATGCTGTCGACTGGGACAGAGCCTTGGGATAGGGGCTATGACTTCCTGGGGCTTCAAAGATTACACATCAGAGCTGAAGCACCGACCCCAAAACACTAGACACTACCTCCATTGTGTTATGCAGATTACGCTTTCTGCATGTCCTTCTCTCTGCATGTGGCGGAGGTGATGTCAGGCCTCCTTCCTAGCCCAGCTCATGGCGCTCACATATTTCCCACCACTCGCACAGTCACTCATCCTCAAGCCACGCCCTTCTTCACAAATGAGTAAAACCTGGGTTCGGTCCTGGGTACAGGCCTTTGTTCCAGATGGCCACCATCATGGCTGGACTTAGGACCCCTTGGCTCCCCGTAACTACGAATATGCCTTAGTGTCTTTATTCTCGCCATGGGTTGCACTGGAAGTGGTAGATTGGAACTGACTCGCTAGAACTCCAATAACTTTTCTTGGGATGATAAATATAAACTTCCTAGGCTGTGAGGAGGACTGGGAAGGGCTCTCTATAAGGCAGGGCTACACAGTGAGTTCAAGGCCAGTCTGAATTACAGAGCAGGGCCCTGTCTCAAACACACACACACACACACACACAAATTGTTATGGTCTGTGTCTAGATGTCCCCCCAAAGCCTCATGCAGTCATGGGGTGGGCTTCTAGAGTTTCTGCCTGACTCATGGTCCAATGCTGGGATTATGGGTGTGAGTGCTATACTCACACGGAGGCGGGCAGCCTGCATACAATGTAAGGGAGGGAAAGAGGCTTGCTGCTGCCCCTCCCTTTTTGCTCTTGTTGCTTTTGCTGTTCTCCACCGCCATGAACTGTTGCCCTCTGCCATGTGTCATTCTGCCTTGGAGCCAGCCGGAGTGTGGACTGAAACCTCTACAAACTGTGAGCTAAATAAAGTTCTCCTTCCTTAATTTTTTTTCTTTTTTTTTGTCTTTTTGAGACAGGGTCTCCCTATGTAGTTCAGGCTGGCCTTGAGCTCACTTTGTAGCCCAGGCTGGTCTTGAACTTGCGAAGATCCTCCTGCCTCAGCCTCCCAAGTACTGGGGTTACAGGCGTGCACCACCACACCTGGCTTCCTTCCTTAATTTTGGGTCAGGTATTTTGTCTCAGCAACACCAGCAAAATAACTAAGACACAAATTAAAAGAAACAAAAAAAGAAAAGAAAGAAAAGGAAAGGAAGGAAGGTAGGAAGGAAAGAAGGAAGGAACGGGGCTGGGGATTTAGCTCAGTGGCAAAGCGCCTGCCTGGCAAGTGCAAGGTCGTGAGTTCGGTTCCCCGTACCGGAGAAAAACCAAAAAAAAAAAAAAGAAGGAAGGAAGGAAAAGAAAAAAAGAAAGTGACAAAGCTCCCCAACAGAGCCAGGGCTCTCAAGCAGAAGAGGATTTTTTTGGAACTCCTACCACCTGCCATGCATGTCCATTCACTTAATCCTCAAGGCACCCTCTGAGCGGTGCTTTTAGTTCCAATTTCCAGCTTACGAATAGAGAGAGTGTGCCTTGTCACACACACCCATCCCCACCGGGCGGAACCCGTAGCTTGGCCAAAATTTGGGCCCAGAGCCATATCTGTGACCCCGGAGGCCAGTCGTCTCCAGCACACCACGCTTTAGGGCACAAAAGGGGCCACTGCGGTGGTCAGCACGGAGAACTGGACGCCTAGAGAGGAAAAGTGCTGCCCAGCCTGTCAGAAAGTGACCGTCCCTTCTGCACCCCATGGGTATGAGCTGAAACTGCTCAAGAGTCACTTTTTAAATTTACTCCCACATTGCTACCAGCACAGTACTCCATACGAGCCTCCCAGGGTCACCAAACAGCACGCGTGTGACAGTCTGGGAAGCTTTTCTAGAACGCACACCCGTTCTCAGTAGAGCAGACCCCGTGGTCAGATTTGAAGGCCCAGCCCTGCCGCTTCTGGCTGTGCGAGGACAGGTGAACTTTGCCTCTGCATGTTTCTTCAACTGAAAAAAGAGTATCGATGCCTGCTGCCTACCTTGGGGGCGCGGTTGGAGGAGCCGGGACTGCACACAGCGGGGTTCTGCTTCGGAGGAAGCCCCTGATGGGAAGCAGCAGACAACAGCACGTTAGTGAGGGCACCTCGGGATGCGCTGGTGACAGACCGGGGCTAGAATGTGAACTTGCTCTTTTCCCCTCCCTGCCTGGCTCTTTCTCCACATCTGTGATTCCTTCTGGCTCAGCTCTGTGAAGCTCCCTGGCCTCCGGGGAGGGGTCTGTGCCCCACCCGACTCTTCCTCGTCAGAAAGAGACGGGAACTACTGACTGAAATCAGGTGCCTGTGGTGAGGGCCAGCGCAGTGGGGGGATGGGCGCAGGCAGCTCTGCAGTACAGGCAGGGGGCCCCGCACGCGCAAGGGGCCAGGCTGTCACCCTGAGGAAACGAGGGACCTCCTGTGTGGCCGGAGCTGGGACTGCAGAGTGGGTCTCAGGAGATGACCCAGGAAGGCCAGCCTGGAGCCAACTCCTACAGGACTCTGATGTCACATGGAGCCACTGAAAGTTTCAGCTCATACAGCCAAGGCCTAGCAGTGACCAGGGAAGGATTTCAGTGGCTGTTGTGAGAGCTGCAGGGAAGAGTTGACTGAAACGGTATAGGTGAAAAATGCTGAGCCTCAGCTCAGTAAGTTGGCGCACGCCTGTGACCCCAGCGCTCTGGGAGGCTGAGGCAGGAGGATCATAAGTTCAAGTCCAGCCTGGACAACTTAGTGAGATCCTATCTGAGGAGGTAGAGGCTGGGGATCTAGTTCAATCTGCAGGCCCTGGGTTCAATCTCCAGTACCCCCATACACACACACAAACAAGGAACTCAGGGGTGAAAGCAGGGCGGCAGAGAGCGGAAAAACTCTGCGCACTTGGAATCTGGGACGGAGCCTGGGATGTTTATGCTCAAGTTCAGGCCTCTCGCTTCCTCACTTGGGACCTTGGGTGACTCTCAGGATCGTAGTTCTCATCTTCTCAGTCGTACAATAAGGGGAATCACAGCAACTTGGGTGCAAAGCAGAATCTAATGGACTGCAAGTCCCACGCAATTATACGAGAAACGTAACAGACGGAGGAGGACCCACAGGAGTCCGACAGGTGGCCCTGCCCTGCCCACTTCGGCGGGGCCGTACCTTGGCGTCACCCTCCTCGCAGCTCTGTCTCCTCTGCCCCCGCAGGCCCTGGCTTTTCGGGGGCCTGGGCGGGGGCGCCTGGTTCTCACTGGCTGGTGACTTCCGGAGGCTGTAGTAGAAGGCTTCGGACAGCTCCTCCACGGTGGCCGCAGGGAGAGGCTCGGCCAGCTGGCCCGGCTGCCCTTCGGCCTCCACCACCGTCAGGTCCAGCCACCGCGGCGGGATCTCAAAGAAGGTGCCCGGCCGGGAGTCCAGGCCCACCACCAAGAAGGGCTCGGTGATCCGCTCCTCCAGCCGCAGGCCGGGGAAGGAAACCAGCGGGTCAGCGGGGAGGCCGGTGTCCTTGGTCACCACCTTGACCTCGCAGGGCAGTGACAGCTGCTGAGTCAGGTCTGCCAGGCTGTAGCGCCGGCTGTCGTTCATCTCCTCCACCAGGCCGCAGGGCAGGTAGAGGGGCAGCAGCACCTGCTCCTGGTCCTCCTCCGCCTCCTCGCGTTCGCCCTCCGCCTCCCCGGCCTCTTCGCCCAGCCGCGCGCACACCAGGACGTCTATGTCCTGCCCGTGGGTCCCCAGGACCTGGCCGGGCCCGATCACCTCCAGCCGGTCGCCCACAGCCAGGGAGGAGAGCTCGGGGCTCTCGTCCCCCTCCTCGCAGTCCTTCGTCACCACCACGCGGAGGCGCCGGCCGGGCTGCAGCGCACCCAGGAGGTCGTAGGCCGTGGGGAACTCCCGGGGCCGCCGCCGCAGCTTGCCCTGGTAGGCCCCGGAGACCATGAAGTGTCGGGGCACCTTCCGGCCCTTGCTGGAGGCCAGCACCCGCCAGGGGGGCGAGGCCGGGCCGTAGATGCAGAGCCTCTGGCCCTTCCGCAGGGAGCCCATCCACGGGCTGAGGAAGATGGGGGGCCCCTCCGGGACCTCCAGGATCTCCGTGAGCAGGGGAAACGGGCCTCCCCGGGCCAGGGCCTCGCTCAGCAGCAGCGGTTTGATGAAGTGGACGTGCTGGGAGGAGGCGGTGACGTCCTGGACCTCGACCTCCAGCGTGGAGGGGATCCTGACCACGGTCTTGCGCACTGTTGGGGGAGGGGTCGGCTCAGCGGTGCAGCACACACTGCCCCCGGGGCGGACCCCCACCCCCACCCCAGACGGAGGGCATTGGTCGGAGCAGGCTGGCCTCCTTCCGGGTTTCCTCTGGCTGGTTTGGGGGTTTGTTTGGTTTGGTTGGTTGGTTTTTTTGGGTACCGGGAATCGAACTCAGGACCCTGAGCTTGCCACGCAGGCGCTTGTGCCACTGAGCTATATCCCCGGCTGTTTGGTTTGGTTTGGTTTGTAGCACTGGGGATTGAACCCAGGGTCTTCACATTGAGCTACATTCCCAGCGCTTTCTTTTGTTTTTTATTTTTATTTATTATTTATTTATTTATTTATTTATTTATTTATTTTTGGTTTTTCTCCGGTACCGGGAACCGAACTCACGACCTTGCGCTTGCCAGGCAGGCGCTTTTGCCGCTGAGCTAAATCCCCAGCCCCTTTGTTTTTTATTTTGAGATGGTCTCTCCCAGTCCTTTGAGTTGCTCAGGCTAGCTAAGCTTGAATTTATAATCCTCCTGCCTCAGCCTCCTAGAGGCTGTGCTGTGTGCACAGTGCCCACTCATCCCTGTTTTCACTCTTCTTTCCTTCCAACATTTCTCTATTGTACTAGATTCTTCACCCACTCTTCCTTCCACTTCTTACTTTAAACAGAAAAAATTGGGTGCGGGTGTACCAGGAATTGAACTCAGGACCTCATGCTTGCCAGGCAGGCACTGTGCTACTAAAAATAAGCTGAATCCTCGGCCCTTAAAACAATCTTTTTTTGATATAGGGTCTCACCATGTAGTTCAGGCTGGCCTTGAGCTCACAGCGATCCTCCTGCCTCAGCCTCCTGAGGGGACTACAGGCATATGCCGCCACACCCAGCTAAAAATTATTTTTAAACATTCATAAAACAGTATCCATGCACCCATGCCCCAGCTTCAATTCAACTCATGGTCCATCTGCTTGCATCTCAGGCCCAGCTCCCTCCTCCACTGGATTAATCTGGTTTTTTTGTTTGTTTGTTTTGTTTCTTTGGTACAGGGAATCTTTCTTTCTTTTTTTTTTTTTGGTACTGGGAATCGAACTCAGGACCTTGTGCTTGCCAGGCAGGCACTTATGCTACTGAGCTATATCCCACTATTTTACTTTTTTTTCCTTTCTTTTTTTTTTTTTGTTTTTTTTTTTTCCGGTACTGGGAATCAAACTCACGACCTTGCGCTTGCCAGGCAGGCGCTGTGCCACTGAGCTAAATCCCCAGCCCCTTGTTTTTTGTTGTTGTTGTTTTTTGTGGTACAGGGAATCCAACTCAGGGCCTTGTGCTTGCCAGGCAGGCACTGCGCCGCTGAGCTACATCCACAGCCTTCCACTGGATTATTCTGAAGCACAATGATCACACCATGCCATGGGGAACTATTTCAATGTGAAAGACAGGATAATTAAAATTTTTTTTAAAAAAGGAATACCATGGGGGCTGGGGAGATAGCTCAGCGGCACAGCATCTACCTGGCAAGTGTGAAGTCATAAGTTGGATTACTGGTACAAAAAAAAAAATTTCAGGGGCTGGGGATTTAGCTCAGCAGCAGAGCGCCTGCCTGGCAAGCGCAAGATCATGAGTTCGATTCCCAGTACTGGAAAAAAAAAAAAAAAAAAAGAATAAAAATTTTTCATAATAAAAAAAGGAATATCATGATGTCATTAATGTATTAGTAATTATTCAATAATTCCTAAACACCACCAAATATCCAATCAGTTCCACCATTTTTAAATTTTTAATTTAATTTAAAATGTAATTTCACAAGTGCCTGCCTGCCAAGTGCAAGGTCCTGAGTTCGAGCCCCGGTACTAAAAAAATAAATAAATAAATAAAATGTTATTTCATGAACTGCTTTTCCAAATCCTTTCTGGGTTTAAATAGATAAAACTAAATCAAGAAAAACAACGCTGGGTGTGGTGGCGCACGCCTGTAGTCCCAGCACTTGAGAGGTTGAGGCAGGAGGATCGTTGCAAGTTCAGGACCAGCCTAAGCTACAAAGTGAGCCCAAGCCTAACCTGAACTGCATAGCGAGGCCCTGTCTCAAACACACACACACACACACACACACACACACAAAACCACTAAATGATCTTAGGCCGCCAGGAGTGGTGGCGCACACCTATAGTCCTAGCACTCAGGAGGCTGAGGCAGGCGGATCATGTTGAGTTCAAGGCCAATCTGGGCTACAAAGTAAGCTCAAGGCCAGCCTGAACTGCATAGCAAGACCCTGTCTCAAAAAGACAAAAAAAAAAAAAAAAAAAAAAGATCTTGGGCCACTTCCTTTCTGGGTACTGATTAGAATCTCAACTACTAGCTCTAAAAGACTATGAGGAAGCTGAGCATAGTGTCACATGCGCAAAATCCCAACACTCTGGGAGGCTGAGGCAGGAGGATCACAAGTTCTAGCCCAGCTTGGTTAACTCTGACATAGTGAGATTCTCTCAAAATTAAAAATAAATAAATGAAAAGGGCTTGGGATGTAGCTCAGTGAGAAAGCCCTGGGTTCAAACCCCAACACTACCCCTCCAAAAAATGAAGGAAAGTAGCCTGGTATTGCCACACCACGCACAGGCAGGTTAGGGACACTCTCCCCTTCTCACAAGTGACAGCACCAAGGCTTACAGGGGTGGCAGCTTCTCTCATGCAGCATGGTTGGGAATTTCGCTCAGTGCCAGAGGAGCAGACAGCTGGTTGGAGCTGGGAACTGTGCACACAGGAGTTCATGCTATTGTTGAAGGGTCCCTGACCCGGAAGCCCTGACTCCCCAGAAGTTGTGGTCTCTGCTTCTCAGGTGTGGCCTCCTCTACTACTTCCCACAGACAAGGTCCAGGCACCGTGGGAAAGCTCATTTCAGTTTCTGGGGAGTTGTCCAGGAGCGATCAAGGACCTATTACACCAAAAGGCAGGGACGCCTGCTCAGGCCCACACAGACCTGTCAAGAGGGTTCTGGAACTGTCCTGAAAAGGCCCCCACTGGCCAAAGATGAGATAATCTGAGCAACTGTAAGAATTACATCCGTGCTGGGCGTGGTGGCACATGCCTGTAATCCTAGCACTCAGGAGGCTGAGGCAGGAGGATCGCTGTGAGTTTGAGGCCAGCCTGGGCTATAAAGTGAGCTCAAGCCAGCTTGAACTGCACAGCGAGATCCTGTCTCAAAAAGACCGAAAAAAAAAAACAGAATTACATCAGTAGGGAAAATAATCAGTGGGGGTGTGTGGAGATTTAGCTCAGCAGCACAGCACCTGCCTGGCAAGCGCAAGATCATGAGTTCAATTCCCGGTACCAGAAAAAAAAAAAAAATCATTGGGTTCAAGCACACTGAAAACATTTTGTATGTGAGGTCACAATGATTAAAAAAAAATTCTACATTGTCACCTGGAGGTTCCACATGGAGCCAAGCTGAGACTGTCTGCCCTGCACCTCACAGGGCAGTAAAAAACTGCACCTCAAATCTGCTCAAACCTCGGGTCTAAGCACCAGGTCACAGATGTGAAGCCAAGAATCATCACAGCTGGCCTGTGTGTGCTCTCCCATCAACAGCTGCTGGCAAAGCTGGCTCTGAGCTGGGATCTGATCCAGGAATTTGGACGTCAAGCAGGTCTCCATCACCCCTTGAAAAGAATGTATCCAGCTGGTGTGGCAGGGACGCCTGGAATCCCAGCACTTGAGGATCTCAAGTTTGAGCACAGCCTAGGAAATTTAGCAACTTAGCAAGGCCTCGTCTCAAAATAAAATATAAAAATGGGCCAAGGATGTAGCTCAGTGTGAAGTCCCTGTTACATTCCACCTGGAACCCCTGCTACCCGCAGAGCGGGGCGTCTCCCAGCAGGGCAGCTCCCCTCCCACCCCCACTGCCAAAGACTCACTGTGCATGATGGCTTGGACCTCATACTCTGGCCTCAGGACCACAGAGTGCCAAGGGAGGGCGGGGCAGGTGAGCTTGAGGTCCCTCAGGGCTGGGTCCTGCAGGATCTGGAGCAGAGTTTGGGACGCAGTGGGCTCCCGCGTCCAGAAGGGCCCCTTCTGGGTGAGGGGCAGGTGCAGGACGACCTGCTGGGCCTTGGAGTCCAGGCTACAGCGTGCACAGCGGGTCCCGAGGTGCATTTCCACGGCCTCCAGCACGAGGGGCTGGTCTTCGGGCACCACCCCGGCCTTTGTGACCACGCTGCGAGCGGACATGAAGCAAAGGGGCAGCGGGGTGGCGCTCTGCTGTGCGGCAGAGACCAGCTCCTGCAGGGTCCCGTAGCTCTTCGGGGTGGAGAGCGGGCAGAAGTGGCCTGTGGGGTTCAGCAGAGAGTGGCAGTCAGGGCCAGGCAGACACGGGCTAGGCCCCGGGCCCAGACTGCCTGCAGATGACCCAGCCAGCGTCCGTGAGGACAGGTGTCAAAGGACGCGCCGGCTCCAGGCGGAGGGACAGAAGGCAGGGCGGCAGTGTACCAGTGGACAGTGAAGGGCAGGAGTGGTGAGGGCAGACACAGAACAGAAAACAGCCCCGGCAGAGGCACAGGCAACTCTCACACCCTCCCTCCCCTCGCCCCACCCTGCCTCTCCTCCCTCTCCAGTCAGCTCAGCAAATGCCAGGCCCACACATCCAGAACGGCCCCCTGCACCCGGCCCTCCCAAGCCCGCAGCCCAGGAGCTGCTGGTCAGGTGCCCTCCGGCCCCTCCTCCTGCCTGCCAGCACCGCCGGCTGCTCTCCCGGCTCCCACTTCCGGCCATTCTCCCGCCACCACCACCGAGCAGGCCGCTCGCGGATGCAGTGGTTCCCTTCCCCAAACCCACAACCTGCGTCTAATCAAACAACCATCACCAAGCCGGGACTGAGGGACGAGTCACAAGGCACTGGTCCGAGAACAGAGGGCGGCTCAGCGGCGCGGCACAAGCTTAGCATGGCGGAGGCGCTGGTTCCATCCCTCCCTAGCACCACAAAAAAGGCGCTAATCTGGCTTATTCAAAGGTGTCCATGTCGGGCTGGGGATATAGCTCAGTGGTGCAGCTCCTGCCTGGCAAGCGTGAGGTCATGAGTTCGATTCCCGATGCAAAAAAAAAAAAAAAAAGTCCATCTCAAGACCAAGAAGAGCTGGAGGAATATTCTAGCCTGAAGGAAACTAAAGAGATGAACACAATGTGTGATCCCCACTTGGACTCAGGAGCAAGGAAAACCCTGCTGCAAAGGAAAACCCTGCTGTAACGTAAATTTCATTAGGGCAGTTGGTGGAACCTGGATTATAGATTGTGAGTCACACAATAGCATGCCATCAAAACTATGTTTTCTGGTTGTTGTTGTTTTTTTTTGTCTTTTTGAGACAGGGTCTCACTATACAGTTCAAGCTGGTCTTGGGCTCACTTTGTAGCCCACGCTGGCCTCGAATTCCCAATGATCCTCCTGCCTCAGCCTCCCAAGTGATGGGATTACAAATGTGCACCACCACGCACGGCTGAATTTGTTTCATATTTTGGGGGTTGCTTTTTGGTTGAGACAGGGTCTCACTATGTAATCTAGGCTAGCCTTGAACTCACTATGCAGAGACCCGTACTTGTGATCTTCCTGCCTCAGCCTCCCAAGTGCTGAGATTACACGTAAGTGTCATCATGCCTGGCAAATTTCCTGAATTTGATCACCGAACGATGTGCACTTTTGTGTGTGGATGGCCTTGTTTTTAGGAGATGCACACTATCGTGCCTAGGGGTAACATTTAAGTAAAAAGAGGTATCATGTCTGCAATTTATTCCCAAATGTGTCAGAAAAAAAACATGTCTATCCAGGTACATGTCTGTGTGTTGTGGTATAATAAAAAATAGGGTGAATATTTTTTTTTGTACTGGGAATCGAGCTTAGGACCTTGCTCTTGCCAGGCAGGTGCTGTGCCGCTGAGCTATATCCCCAGCTTAATGTTTTAAAATGTATTAAAAACACTGCCATTAATCTCCCTCAAAATATTCTCAGTTGCTTCAGAAACATTTATCCCATCATTCTTGCCACTTTTTGAAGCAGTTCTAGAAGTCCTCTCTCTTGTTTTCTCTCTCTTTTTTTTTTTTTTTTCTTCCGGTACCAAGAATCAAATTCAGGACCTTACACTTGCCGGGCAGGCGCTGTGCCGCTGAGCTAAATTCCCAGCCCTTTTTTTTCCCTTTTTGAGACAGGGTCTCACTATGCAGTTCAGGCTGGCCTTGAGCTCACTTTGTAGCCCAGGCTGGCCTCAAACTTGAAACAATCCTCCTGCTTCAGCCTCCTGAGTTCTGGGGTTACAGCTGTGCACCACCATGCCCAGCTCTGGAAGTCCTCTCTCTTGAGTGTTGTTCTGTGCATGACTGCCGTGATGTCCTGAATCGGTTCAAAGTGTTTATCTCTTGTGGTCATTTTGACTTTGGACAGGAACCGGCAGTCATGGCATATGGCGGATGTGAACACTCGGTAACGTTTCACGAGCCTGCCTCTCTGTCAGACGGCACTGGGCAGCAGGGCTCACTGTGTGTCTGATCACATCTCATAAAGACCCTCTCAAAAGAGGACTCAAGGGGCTGGGGATTTAGCTCAGCGGCACAGTGCCTGCCTGGCAAGCATAAGGTCAGGAGTTCGATCCCCGGTACCGGAAAAAAAAAAAAAAAGGACTCAGAAGGGCTTCAGAAAGTGGTAAGAGTAATGGGATAACTGTGTTCAAAGAAAGGAGGGATATTCTGAGGGGGATTAATGGCAATGGTTTTAATGGTAATAAAGTTTTTTTTCTTTTTTGGTCTTTTTGAGACAAGGTCTTGCTATGCAGTTCAGGTTGGCCTTGAGCTCATTTTGTAGGCCAGGCTGGTCTCAAACTCACATAGATCCTCCTGCCTCAGCCTCCTGAGTGCTGCGATTAGAGGTGTGTGTCACCATGCCCGGCTGTAATGAAGTTTTTACCACGTAAACATTCCCTGTGTGTTTCTATCACACCTGGCACAGAGAAAGCGGGCAGGAACAAAAATGTAACGAAGGTTTAGCAATTGGTGACTGGAGGCTGGGTGACCAGGAGTTCCAGCAAGTCTTGAGTACATCTGAAACTATTTCAGAAGAAAAACAAAAACCTCCAAATACAAAAAAACCCTCACTTGTATATTTCTAAACCTCACTGGCTGCTCAGTCCCTTCAAAATAAACGCCAAGCTGTATCAGCACCACACAGCCCTGGGTGGGTTGGCTCCTCCCGGAGCGCTCTTGAAAGCTGGCACCCATTTGCCCTCCTGTCAGTGCCACCTGGACAGGCCTGGCTCCCCCAGACCCCACAGGCCCAGGCACACATGGGTGTCATAGATGTCAGGCGAGTAAATGCGTGAGCACACACAGGGACTGGCCCTGCACAGAGAGCTGGAGCGTAGGCAGATGTGATCAGAGACCAACGCGGACAGGGTGCGGCCAGGCCAGGCTCAGAGTGCTTATTGTCCGATCACTCTGAGGGCATCCCTGGCCGCGAGGCTGCAAAGCCCGACAGGTCGGAGCGGATGCTGGGATCGGCAAGCCCTCCAGGAGTTCCCGCGGGGGTCCTGGAGGTTGCCAGGCATGTGGGGAGGGAGGCAGGGGGCCCTTCCTTACCCTGGAAGTTGGGGGGCAGCTCCAACGTCTGACCCGTGCCTGGGTTCTTACAGACCACTTTCTGCAGGTGAACCTGCGTGACCTTCATCAGGTCTCCCGTGGACAGGCAGCACTCATTCCCACAGATCTCGTAGATGGAGCCTGTGGAGACATGGACTCCGTTTCCTCATTTGGCGGGGACCAAGCACCAGGGGACCTGGGCCGTGCTCCTGACAGGGTCTGCTCCCAATGCACCCTCTGTGGTGCGCTTCTCACAGGGCTGATCCACCTCTGCACCCTGCAGCCAGCACGGGGCTCAGCCTCGGTTAAATCCGTGAATCCGTAAGTAACCCCGGTGAACCTCAACCCCTTCACTGCACAGCCATGAAGTCATGCTCAGGGAGGGTCAGGGGCTCCCTGTGCAGGGCCGGGTGAGGACCAGCCCTCCTCAAGCTCTTTGCTCCTCCTTCAGGTGAGCCACTTTTAAGGGACGCACAGGCAGGAACGGAGGCCCTGACGGTGCTGCCCAGCAGGCAAGGTTCTGGGTGCCTCCTCTGGCCGAGCAGCCCACTTTCCTGGTTTAAACGGCAGGTCCACAATAGAGATCTCTCCCCGAAGGACTGCATAGGCTCTCCATCCAGCTGAAGGAGGACAGGAAATTGCAGGTGACCTGCCGTAAGGGCACCTGACACCCTCCCACCCCACAGGGCAGCCTCTGTAGGGCCCCTCACATCAGCCCCAAGAAGCTGATGCAAACTCTTCAGCCCAGGAAAATGCACAGGGCTCGCAGAGCACAGTTCTGTCTACAATGCAGGGTGTGGACCTTCCTGCCACAAGCGGCAGCTGCGGAGCTATATATACACCTACACATACCTCGCTCAGTGCTAAGTGCGCAGGTGCCTCACTGCCTTTAATACCATGAGTGCCCTCGGCGAACAGGAAGTTTCCCACTCCTAAATAATGACACTTAGTGCCCGGCGTGGTGGCACACACCTGCAATCCCAGCACTCGGGAGGATGAGGCAGGAGGATCGTTGCAAGTTCGAGACCAGCTTGGGCTACAAAGTGAGCTCAAGGCCAGCCTGAACTGCATGGCCAGATCCTGTCTCAAAAGACCAAAAAAAAAAAAAAAAAAAAAAAAGACACTTCGTTTCTCTTTCTTTAAACTGACACAGCTTCAGAGGCTGCGTGTGGCTCAAAATGATCAGAAAACAGGAGACAGGACTGGCGGTCAAGCCCAGGGTGTTTGCCTCTAAAACTGGCGCTCCTAACTAGGTGACACCCCACACACACACTGCCATGGCCACCTGTCCTCCACACTCACCCCATCTGCACACCCACGGGTTCTTCTTTAATCACATCGCCCCAGCGGCAGCCACCTGCCCCCACCCCAGATCAGGCAGGATGAGGAAACAGGTACCGCGACCCTGGAAGCCAAGGGATGCCTGGAGGACAGGGGCTCGGTCCTGGGCTGGGAGGGGAGCACACAGCTGCAGGCAGCTCCCAGAGGTGGAGCCCGAGCCCAGATGCTGAAATACCCGAGGGGACCTGGGCTGACACACTGAGGCGGAGGCGCCTGCGTGGCCCTCCGGGTGTGTCAGCCCTGCTCTAGGACCCGCCTCGGACCTCAGAACACTTCTGGAAGCCGCTGTGGCACAGCAAGTTTCCTCCCTCGGGGAGCAGGATGTGCAGGGCGAGAAGTTCGCGGCGGGAAGGAGCCCGCACGCACCCACCGCCAAGCCCGGGCGCCCACTCCCTCCCGCGGCCGCTCCGACCCTCGCTCTTGCTCTTTGGGGCAGTGACTAGGGACAGTGTGACTGCCCGGCTGTGTGACAGCCCGGAGATCTCCGCCGTGACAGGCGGGCGGTGGGCAGGGAGCAAACGTGCTGGGGGTGCACGGAGCAGAGCGCAGGGAAGGCTTCGCGGAGGAGGCGCCGCGCGGCTGAGCGGTGAAGAGCTGGCCGGTCCGTACTGCCCCGCCTAGCAGGGGGCCGGGCGGGAGCGAGGCGCCCGGGCAGGGAGAGTAGGGAAGAGGAGAGGGGAGGGGAGGGGAGAGGAGGGAGAGAAAGGGAAAGAAAAAAAGGAGAGGGGAGGGAGGGGAGGCCCCTATCCACGGACGGACGCAAAGCTGAGGTCTCGGGTGGGGCTGGCTGTGCCCCGACTCCCACAGCTGGGCAGTGAGCGACTCCAGGTCTCAAGGCCCGGGGGGCCCGCACGGGAGCCCGGGCCCGCTCACCCTCGGAGTAGACTCCGGAGTAGACCCGCAGCACGCGCGGCAGGGAGGCGGGGTCCAGGCAGCGCGCGAAGTCCTGCAGCGACACCGGCTCCATGGTCTCCGCGGATCGGCTAGCTCTGCGCGCACCTAGCTGCCGGAGCCCCCAGCCCCGCCCCGCCCCGCCCGCCCGCCCCGCCTCGCCCGTCTCCTCCCTCCAAGCCACGCCCCCAAGCCACGCCCTCCGGCCCCGCCCGGCCCGTGGATGGGCGCCGGGCCCCACCGCGGACCTGGGGCCCTCTTGGGTAAGGCGCTTCCATCTCCTTGCCTCGGTTTCCTCCAGACTGAAGTGGGCTTACAAGTCCTGCCTCTCCCACGGTCTCGCAGAGCGTCTGGATCGACTCTGGATTCCGGGAAGATGCTGAACGAATGGAAGCTGTCCATGGTCCTTTGCTTGGACACCTCTAGTGACAGGAACTCATTACCTTTCTGGGACGCTCATACTCTCTGGATAACTCTAGTTCTAGTTAGAAATTCTCCCTCCGGCTAAAGAGAAATCTGCTTCCGAGGCAGGCTGCCACGTGCGAGCTCGCGGGATGGCCAGGGCTTTTCCAAGGTGCTCGTTTTTACAGCCCGCAGAGTACATTTCAGTGATGATGAAAGGTGACTGAAGCCTCCAGTGGACCCCATGGGGAGAGGGACACAGCAATGCAGGCAGCCAGGGCCTGCGGGGCTGTCGAGCGGGGGTGACAGCTGGAGAGGGCATTTCTGGGGGCGTGGATCGCTGAGCACCTGCCCCAAGCAGGCCCTGTACAGCCCCTGTTGCTTACCGCTCCCTACACAAGGGCAAGGCAGTGGGACCGGGAAACTGAACCGCAGGAAAGGGGATTTTTTGTAAGGCGCGCAAAATGGAGATGCTAGGATTTTAACCCCGCTCTGCCAGGTTTCTCCTGCAGGCCAGAGAAAATGGCAATTCATCATCTCTTTCCCATGTGTTTTGGTAGACTGTGGACCCCTCGGTGAATTTCTGCTCAGCCCAATTTTGCCTATAATTGTAGTAAGGGATGAAGATAAAAAGATGGGCTTTGGAGACGCTCCACCACCTCTTAGCTGTGTGACCTTGGGCCAGTTCCTCAACCTCTCTGAGCCGCATTCCCTTCTGTACAACGAGGATAGTCAGGAGTTGGGGGTGTTGGTGAAAATGGTAGTGTAACACTGACACATGGGCGCATGCCAAGTGCTCAGCACCCGTCATTATATTATTTCCCAAGGGCTTCGGTGCCTCTGACACTTCTCAGACACGATCTCGTCTCCGTTGCTTCTCCCAACAACCCACCTCCCATTTTAGGAAATAAAAACGAGGGGGAAACTGTTGGCTTTGCTGTTGCACAACGCAGAAATGCAGAAACGTAAAGCTCATATACTCTCGAAGCAATGGCTAAAGTGTTTCAATTGTCTTTTATCTCTTTTCTGGATTTTTCCATAACGTGATTTGAGTGCTTTTATATGAACAAAAGTATTATGAACAGCTCCGTAGCAAGGCTGTTCGAGGCCACCGTGCGGATCCTCTGGAGCAGGGCGCCCCCCTCGTAGATGTTCGCTGGGGAAGACTGGTCGCTCTTGGAAGGAGCTGTGCACGGGGCCGCACGCGCATCCTCCTAGAGGGGGCGTGTCCGACTGCTGGCTCCGCCCCCTGTGAGCGCGCCCGCTGCCCCCGCCCTCCTGGTTTCTGCTGTGAACAGGCGGGGCGGACCCTTCCCAGCCCGGTGCAGGGAGGAAGGTGGGGGCGGGGAAGAGAGATGGAGGGGTAAGGGGAGGAGGCGAAGAAGGGTGTGGGGCATCTGAGAAGCTTCCCTGTCTAGCCTTGGGCCCACGGGGCAGACTTGGTGGTCCTCAGGCCCTGGTGCACAGAGGGAAAATCTGAGTAAACCCTCCAGACTTAATTTGTTTCACCTGCTTTTAGCTACTTGCTTTTTAAATTTATTTATTTTTTGCATTTTGCATTGCCGGGGATGGAGCCCAGGGCCTCCCGCATGCTAAGTCCTTGCTCTACCCCTGAGCTACACCCGCAGCAGTTACTTGCTTTAAATCACCAGCTTTGGAGGTAGAGATAACAGTCCCACGGGTGGACTATGGGGGAACCGTTGATGAAGTTGGATGGACCCAGCGCGCTCAGACCCCTGACTGCTTCCGAACCTCCAAGCGCCTTTCCTCACACCTCGGCCCCTGAGTGTCCTCAAACCCTGCCTTCCGGGAGGTGGATTTGAGATTTGCTGTCTGCACTCGTGGCTGCCTCACCTTGTGAATAAACCCTTTTCTGTCATTGCAAAACTCATCCCTCCCGGGATTGGCATGAATGGGGCCTGGTCAGTAAGAGGGAGCCCCTGAGCCGTTGAGGAGGGCCGGGCACAGCTGCTCGGCCTGGGGGCTGGAGGAGGGGCAGCGCCGGAACCGTGACCGTGAGTCTGGGGAAGTGGGTTTGAGGGCAAAGGGTTTTTTTTTTCCTTCCCTTTTTTGCAGTGCTGGGAATCTAACGAGGGCCTCCTGGAGGCTATGCAAATGCGCGCACACACCCGCACACATACACCACACACATGTTCCGCACCAAGGCCTCTGTGCCCACGACTTCCTAACCCGGACTGAATGGCAGATGTTTATCTCAGGGAGGGCATCACAGCCCCTGCTCTCATGATGCCGCTGGTGAAGAGGAAAATGAGCCTCCGAGAAGGATCGGGTCTTGTTCTCCTAACACCACAGCTTCTGGGTGATTTCGGAGCTCTGTGACACAGCAGTTGGGATTCTTGTCGCCTTTCGAGCACGGGTTAAATAAAAAGATATTCCTTACTTAGGCGCGGTGGTGCACATCCGGGAACTCTCAGCACCCAGAGGCAGGAGGATCACCAACTTGAGTTCAGCCTGCACAACTTAGTGACTTAGCAAGACCCTGCCTCAAAATAAAGAACGGGCTGCACATGTAGCTTAGTGCTAAGAATGTAGACAGTTAAGTTCGATTGAAGTTGATTTGCAGCCAGAGAGGTCCTGGGCCCTTGAGGAGATCAGCACAGGAGATGAGACGCACAAAGACTGAGGCCAATCTGAGAGAGCCAGGCCCGAGTATCTCCCTAGAGATGAACAGCAACTTGAGCTTGTGCTGTGGTTAGCACCACCCGGTCCAGTGAGCCCAGCTAGGCACGAGACGCACAGGTGGGTGACCGGAACACCAGGACCCGCGCTCTTTCCAGGAATACCTTTGTTCTTCCCATGTACCCTTGCTGCACGCTTCGTTTCCCTATTGGATCAATATTAACTAAATGGCTGTAGTTGTCTTCCGATATGTCAGTGGTGGCGAATTTATGGCACGCGTGCTACAGCCAGTTGTTTGTTACCACTGAAAGCTCCTAAAAAGTTCGCCATCCTGCTATAGGTTGTTTGCAGTTTGACCCTTGTGATTTTGCTGTATAAATTACCCTTGACAAAGAGCTTCAAGGTGCCATCCACTCGGTGGGGCCTCTCCTGGAAATCCAGGGGCTATTCTTCTCCTTATTTCCAATAAAACTCTCCTAACTTCTTTTTTTGGTTCATGGCTGCATTCTCCAAAGTTTCAAGATCACTATGCCGGGCATGGTAGCACACGCCTGTAATCTCAGCACTGGGGAGGCTGAGGCAGGAGGATCGTTGCAGGTTTGAGATTAGTCTGGGCTACAAAGTAAGCTCAAGGCCAGCCTGAACTGCATAGCGAGACCCTATCTCAAAAAGACAAAAAAAAAAAAAAGATCACAAACTTGGTACATCTGACATCTAGCAGGTTGGGAGTTATTTTCCCCTTTACACTAAGGCCCTGGTTTCATTCTACAGTACCTTCAAAAATAAAAAAATTCTCTTAGCTAGGCATGGTGACAAACACCCGTAATCCCAGCTACTCAGGAGGCTGCAACAGGAGTATCTTCAAATTCAAGGCCAGCTTGAATAACTAAAGTGCTGGGAATGTGGCTCAGTGGCAGAGTGCCCCTAGGTTTAATCTCCAGCACCAAAACAAAACAAAACAAACTCAAAAAATTTCAAATGGCAAAAAAATAATAATAATAAAAATTGTTTTAAAAATGAAATTACCATATGATCAATCCAGCAATTCATTTCTGTTTAGATACTCGAACTGAAAATAGAATCTCAAAGAAATATTTGTACACCCATGTTCATAGCAGGTGTTTGTACACCATGTTCACAACTGCCAAAAAGAGAAGCAACCGAAGTGTCCATCCAAAGATGAACAGCTAAGGCACAAGTAGCGTTTGCACGCGATGACGTATAATTCTGCCATTGAAAGGAAGGACATTCTGACACATGCTACAATACAGATTAGACCGGAGGGCATTATGCTCAGTGACGTAAGTCAGGATGATTTCATTTCCACTCATACATGGGCCCAAGCGCAGTCAAATTCATAGAGGTAAAGTTACCAGTGGTCAAATGAGACGCATAGAGAATAGTTGCTTCATGGTAATACTTGCAGTTTTGCAAGATGAGAAAGTTCTGGAGACCTATTGCATCATAGTGCAGATATGCGCGCTTAATGCTGCCGTAACAAAAACAATTTGACAATGGCTTAGATGGTAAATTTTGTGAAGTCCTGGGTTCTATGCCCAGAACTATCCAAAAAGAAACTCGCTATGTCTACTTTATCACATTTTTTCAAAAATGTATCTGAAACTGTGGAAACAATTTTTTTTGAGGGGGAGGTTTATTTTGTTTTGTTTTTGGTGCCAGGGATTGAATCCAGAGGTGCTCTATCATTTAGCTACATCCTCAGTCCTTTTTATCTTTTTTTTTTTTTGTCTTTTTGAGACAGGGTCTTGCTATGCAGTTCAAGCTGGCCTTGAGCTCACTTTGTAGCCCAGTTTGGTCTCAAATTCACAACAATCCTCCTGCCTCAGCCTCCCAAGTGCTGGGATTACAGGCATGTGCCACTACGCCTGGCTCAAACCCTTATTATTCTGAGACAAAATCTCACTGAATTGCCCAGGATGGCCTCAAATTTGCAATCCTCCTGCCTTAGATTCCTGAGTAGCCAGATTACAAATGTGTGATACTGTGCCCAGCTTCAAATTGTCCTTAAATCTGTTTCCCCCACCCCTGTACCCCAGTACTGGGGACCAAACCCAGGGCT